CATGTCTGTAGTAGTCTCATTGCAAGGAAAATGGAGTCTCCAGAGTTAAGCATCATACTTCAAATATCCACCACCTATTGCAAGTGGTATAAATCAAATTGGTTTCCACATGTGGTATTTCTAAACCGATATCATCATGTTGATTTCACTTTGATATTTAGATGCTTTCTCCATGCATTATATAGATTAAACTCCCTTGAGCATTAATTTGCCAATTATGCATAAACTACATTCTCCATCATATGTATGCATATATTTAGGGGGAGCTTAGTCTATGTAATGTGAGAGTCAAATTTTGTGACCTATTCCACTCCACATACAAAGGATCAAAAAGTTTGAGCCTCCCTTATGCTACTAATGTCTTCCTTTTCGGTGTTTGATTCCAAAGGGGAAGAATTTGTAGGACCAAAAGCAAGCCCGATCATAATAATTTACAAGTGGTAATGGTTCGAGAAAGTAAGGATAGTGGATTATGGAGTTAGGGGGAGGCTTAAATCCATAATGCCACATGGGAGCATTTGCAAGGGCAAGATAAGTTTCCAAAGATGTTTACATGTGGTATCTTTTAGCATCATATAACCTTGCCCTTTGCATTGCATCCTAGCAAGGAGATAGTTTTTTTTAAATTCCAAAATTCTTATTATTTGCTTGCTTTGGTCGTGTTGTCATCAATCACCAAAAAGGGGGAGATTGTAAGGAAAATGGACCCTAGGCCCATTTACTTTGGATTTTGGTGTTTGATGATCAACACAACCAAATTGGACTAATGAATTTGCAAGTAATTGTTTTGTAGTTCAATAGGGTGCAAGACATGACTTGGACGAAGGCAGCATGATGATCCCACGATCAACACCTTAAGAAAGACCCTAGAAGCACAAGAGAAGACCCAAGATATCAAGTAAAGTCCAAGCACGAAGATGGGAACCAAGCCAAACGCAAGATCGCAAAGGAACGAGCTCAGCAGAGGTGACCAGACGCGGCCCTATGAGGACCAGACGCGTCCGATCAGTTGCTCGACAACAGCAGGTGTTAGCAGCTATGACTGGACGCTGAGCGAAGTAGTGACCGGACACACAGATGACACTGTTCTTCGTCATGGCCATGTTTCTAGCGTGACCGTATGCGGTGGCACTAGATGACCGGACGCACAAAGTGCAGCGTCCGATCGAGTCCAGAGAGGTTCTAGAGCAGCGCCAGCGTGACCGGACGCGTCCGATCAAGTGAGACCGGACTCGGCCCAGAGTTCGATCAACGCGCACACTCCAATGGTTGGGACGTCCGGACACATCCGATCAGGACGACAACAGCGCCCGGTCAGTAGTAGAAAGCTGGGTTTCGCCCCCAATGGCTGCTTTCTCTGTGGGGCTTATAAATGGACCCCCAACCGGCCATTTGAGATGTGGGGAGCTGAGGAAACATATCAAGGGTGTTGATACACCATTTTAGTGATCTCCACTTGCATAGTGCTTAGTGATTGATTAGGTGATTAGCATAGGTGCTTTGTGAAGTGCTTAGGTTGATTAGACCACCGCTTATGCGCTTGCTCTAGGTTTAGGCCTAGCGTTTGGTGAGGTTTGCACACCGCGCGCACCATTGTTGTACATCGGAGGGGCTTGTAGTCTTGCGAGATCACACCAATCGCGTTTGTGGTGTGGCCGCCACCATGTACCAAAGGGAACAAGGCCCGTGGTGTTTCGGTCAGAAGCTTGATAGTGAAGATGGCGGAGAGCGTTCCGGAAGAGGCTTGCCAGAAGGCACACTGGAGACCCACTTTTTGCATGTGGAAGGCCCGGGGCTATCCACGGAGTTACCCGACTAGGAGCTTGGCCCTTGGGAGGGATTCCTTATGAGGGGCTCCAACGAGGACTAGGGGGAAGCTTGCACGCTTCTTAATACCTCGGTAAAAATACTAGAGTCGTCGATGAGAGTTTGCATATCTCTACCTTACTTTTTAGCTTCCGCATTTACATTGTTTGCATACCTCCTTTTGTGGTAGAGATAGCAACACACTAGCAAAACCGTAGTTGCACATTTAGATAGTTTATCTTTTGCATAGGTTTTGACTAGGTGAAATTAGAGGCCATAGTTTAGAGTAGATTTTTAAGTTGCCTAATTCACCCCCTCTTAGGCGTCACGGTCCCTTATAAGAGCATCTCTCTCACATTACTCAAGTTTTTCAAACTTTTCTTCAACACCGGTTTTGTGTGAAGCTTTCCAAATGTTCCTTTGCTAAACAAAAGCTTCATTATCTGGGTTATCTGATTAGTGTTGAAGGTGTGGCCACTGATCTAAGCAAGGTTCAAATTATTGCAACATGGCCCATTCCAACTTCAGTAAAGGAACATAGAAGTTTTCTTGGTATGGCTGGGTACTATAGAAAATTTGTCAGAAACTTTGGGATGCTAGCTAAACCACTCACTAACTGAAGAAAGGAGTACAGTATGTCTGGACATCTGAACACACTGCTACTTTTCAGGCTTTGCTGCAAACTTTAATGACTGCACCTATTTTGGCTCTCCCAAATTTTTCCAAGACCTTTGTGATTGAAACATATGCCTTTGACAAAGGGATTGGAGCTATTTTGCCACAAGGAGGCCATCCTATTGCTTATGTTAGTAAAGCATTAGGTGTCAAGGCTCAAGGACTATCAACTTATGAAAAAGAAAGTATGGCCATACTCTTAGCAGTGGACCATTGGAGGCCCTATTTGTTACAAGCTGAATTCATTATTCAAACTGACCAGAAAAGTCTAATTCACCTTGATGATCAGAGACTTACCACACCTTGGCAACACAAGGCTTTGACTAAACTATTGGAGCTCAACTACAGACTAGTTTACAAACAAGGCAAGGATAACAAGGTAGCTGATGCTTTATCTAGAACAACACATGGTCCTGTCCATGAGTTATCAGCCATGGTATCTATGCAATCTACTTGGCATCAAGATTTGCAATCTTCTTATCTCCAGGACCCCAAATCAACTCAGTTACTCCAAGAATTGTCAGTTAGTTCTCCCTCTAGACATTTCACACTGGTGGATGGTATTATTTATTTCAAATCTAGAGTTTGGGTTGGAGAGACTACAGTTTTGCAAAACAATATCACCCAAGCTTTACACTTAAGCCCAATTAGTGGCCACTTAGGTGCAGAAGCTACTTATCAAAGGATCAAAAAACTGTTTGCTTGGCCACACCCGTTCAGCAGTTTATTTCTACATGTTCTATTTGTCAGCAGCAAAAACTAAGAAGGTAGCTTATCCTGGCCTTCTAGCTCCTTTACCAATCCCTGATGGAGCATGGCAAATAGTATCCTTAGATTTTATTGAGGGTCTCCCCAAGTCAGACAAATACAACTGTATTTTGGTGGTGGTGGATAAGTTTTCCAAATATGCCCATTTCTTACCATTGTCTCACCCATTCACAGCATTTCAAATTGTTTTGGTCTATATGACTCAGATTTATAAGCTACATGGTCTTCCTAAGGTGCTGATTTCTGACAGAGACAAAATCTTTACAAGTCAAGTTTGGAAGGAGCTCTTCAAGTTAGTCAAGGTTGATCTGCATATGAGTACAACTTACCATCCCCAAACTGATGGGCAAATGGAGAGGGTTAATCAGTGCCTTGAAACATACCTAAGATGCTTTGTCCATGCTACACCAACCAAATGGTCTTCTTGGTTGCCATTAGCTGAGTTCTGGTATAATACCTCTCACCATTCTTCTTTGGGCTACACACCATTCAAGGTTCTATATGGACATGATCCTAACCCACTTGGTATTGATGTGGTGGACTCCTGTCAACATGGTGATCTTAACAATTGGCTCCAGGAGCATGAGTTGATGCTTCAACTTGTTTGCCAACATCTCAACAGAGCTCAGCTTAAGATGAAACACTTTGCTGATAACAAGCATTCCTTTCATCAGCTTGTAGTTGGTGACTCGGTGTATCTCAAACTGCAACCTTACATACAAACTTCATTGGCTACTAGATCCTCCAACAAGTTAAGCTTTCGTTACTTTGGGCCATTCAAGATCACTAAAAGAATTGGCTCAATGGCTTACAGGTTGGCTTTACCTGAATCAAGCTCCATTCACCCTGTATTCCATGTTTCCCAATTAAAGAAGGCCATTTCTGCATCTCATCAGGTATCTACTGAATTACCTAACCAATCCATTCAGTTATAGGTTCCTCTCCGCATTTTGCATCGTCGCCTCCACTGTCAACTGGATCAGGTTATTCCATAAGTCCTGATTCAGTGGTCCAATCTTTGATCTCAACTGTCCACTTGGGAAGATGAAGCAGCCCTGCGCCAAGATTTCCCATGGGCTCTGGCTTAGGGACAAGCTGTTTCTCAAGGGGGGAGATTGTCACCAGTGCTAGTACCGCTACGAAAGATCATGGAGATCAGGTGGAGAAGGAGGCACCTCAGGATGATGGGCCACGAATTAGCAGGCGGGCTTCAAAGCCAAACAAGCGCTACACTAGGCTAGATTGGGTATAGGAGGGAATAGGCCCATGTAATGGGTGGGTGCGTGTGCATCCTGTAAAAGGAGAGCATGGAGAGGAAGGCAAATTGAGTTTGATCTAGTAACCAGAAACCCGACCGGTGGCCTGGGCGATGGCAGCATCTGGCTCATTGACGGCGACTGATGTTCTAAGATTCTACTCCACTACTACTATCATACTAATTCCGGTGACAGTGCCCTTGGGCACCTTCACGCCATAGAGGTCAGCGTCCACTGTCGCCTACCTTGCAATCATCGGCAATGCGCCGTATAGCCAGAGTGTCTCGTACAACACCATGGTCACCTATGAAACAACATAAGAACATGTCTGTGATGCACGCTTGTCGGTGGTCACCGTGTGCATATACTCCTGCTAGCTAGCTTAATAAGCTTAAGGTGGAGGAGGCTCGTGAGCTTGAGCTTGTTGAGGGCATCGCTGCAGAGGGGCACCTCGACGTCGCCACACTCCTGGGTCACCTCCTCCCTAAGCCGCTGCTACCACTCGGGGTGCGTGCTAAGCAGGAACATGGCCCAGGTGAGGAGGTGCGAGGTCGTGTCGTGGCCGGTGAAGAAGAAGGCCTTGCACTCGTTGATGATCTCATCCATGCTCATGGCCTGCTGCCTAATCTTGCCATCGTTGCTGCCGGTGTTGGCCTCTAACATGACGCTAAGCATGTCGCTGCTGTAACCCCTCACCTCCTTCGCAGCGGCGAGGCACTCGCCGATGATTGCCATGAGCATGCCCTACACCATACGCTCGAGCTACCAGCGACGCACGTTGCTCTTAGTCGGCACGTATTGATAGCTATAAGTCTTGTGCTTATCTACTTAGGATGCTTACCAAGAGTAGTTGGTGCCTGTGTCAGCACCCTTATCATCTATCTTATCCTACTTTAGCATCTACTTTAGTAGTTAGAATTTGTTGTAGCTTTCTTAAGTTGCAAGCAAGGTACCCTGTATGTATCCCCAACCTACCATGGTTTGTGGCAAGGCTAATAAATCACAAATCTAGCCCCAAACCTATGTTTTGGTTCTAACAAATGGTATCAGAGCCTAAGTTCATCAAGGTTCTACCCCTACCCATCCTAACCCCGTCGCCATGTCTAACCGTAGCCACTCCCACTCTTCGGTCGAGTCCACGACCTCTGCTGCGCGACTCGGTAGGCGGACGCTCATGCAGTTAGGGAAGCAGATGTCAGAGCGGCGCGGCTCACAGAAGCAGAGAGGAGGGAGCGAGAGGCAGCGGTGCTACAAGCCGTAGCGGCCTAGGCGAAGCGGCTCACGGCCACAGAACTCGTGGCCAAGCGGTCTATCACAATGGCCAGGGAGGCGGCTACCCAGGTGGCGGCGGCTGCAGCAGCGGCCCTACGCATGGAGGCGGGCCCAGACCAGCATGACTTTGAAGGCATAGATAGGTGTGGCATGTACGGATGTGGTTGGGCGGCTCACGATGTGGAGGCAAATGCGGACACGGATGGCCTCGACCTCGCATATGGACGTGACACGAGCAGACTCCACTACCGCGTGCTGGATCCTTGGATCGAGTGTGACCTGGAGGCCCAGCGGGACTGAGAGCGCGCGGCGTGCGAGCGGGCTTTGCGTGACTTTGAGCTAGACCAGGGTGGACGTGGCTTCGACGCACGCGGCCACGGCAGACGCAACCTGGACGACGACTAGTAGGGTGGACGGGATGTTGGTGCACGGAGCCCTCATAGGTGGTGCTCCTCTGCTTCCTCAGACCGGCACCGTGGTCACCGTGGCTAGCCTGGCTCCCTCCCATCATCTAGACCGTCTTCAAGGATGCCGATGTCGGCAGTAGATGGCCCATGCTCACCAAGACCAACTACACTGAGTGGTCCATGGTGATGAAGGTGAAGATGCAGGCGCGGCGCATGTGGGACGTGGTACGGTATGATGACGCTGACTTCAACGAGGATCGACGAGCGTTGGAGGCGCTCCTTGCTACTGTTCCACCAGAGATGCATTCCTCCCTCGCAAACAAGGAGACCGCTAGGGACGCTTGGGATGCCATCACCATGGCATGTATCAGCAACGACCATGCCCAAAGATTCACACTACAGAAGCTATGTCAGGAGTGGGAGAACCTAGCTTTCAAGCTGGGTGAGGACATCGACGATGTCACTCTCTTCCTCAACACCCTGATGTAGCAGTTGGCGTGGTATGGCAATGATGACATCAATGAGGAGAGAGCCATTGAGAAGTTCCTTCATGTCATCCCTAAGAAGTACTCACAGGTCACCATCATTATCGAGATGTTGCTGGACTTCTCCGAGCTATCGATCGAGGAGGTGACGGGTCACCTCATGGCCGTCGACATCCGTGAGCAGCTACCTCCCTCAAAGCCGGTCACCATCGGTGGCAAGCTTCTCTTCACTGAGGATCAGTGGCTTGCCCACTAGTGGGAACGAAAGAAGGGAGAGGCCTCGGGCTCTTCGGCTTTGGGTTCGTCGAGTAGCCGCAAGCGCCGGCCACACAAGTAGCACAAGGCATGTGGTGGCGCTCCTGATGAGGCCGACAGCTAGCGCAAGGCCACCCATGATGACACCTACAAGAACTGTGGTAGGACCAGCCACTAGGCCAAGGACTGCCAGCAGGCGAAGCGTGGCGGTTAGGCACACGTCGTGCAAGCGCAGGAGGGTGATGAGGCGGCTCTATTCTACATGCAAGAGAGCATTGAGCTGCACTCACCTCCCGTGCCAACCGCCGCTGCGCTCCTTCACCATGAGGAGCCATGGGCCCCAGTCTTCCTCGGCAATGGGTCCAGCGGTGACAAGTTCGATGGCTAGTACCTCAACATCGGCACCACCCACCACATGACCGGGCGGCGGGAGATCTTCTCCAAGCTTGACTCCGGTGTTTGAGGCTCTATCAAGTTTGAGGATGCCTTCGCTGTGGAGATTGTTGGTATTTATTAACGCACACAGATAAGATCCGCAAGCGCATGGATACCGCTATAGCTTTCACCCGGAAGTATTCCAAGTATCGTATCCATAGGGAACCATATGAGACTAACTATGATCTAACTTAACAAGTGGTAGCAACAAGGTTAGGATATACAGGAGTGTAGAGAGGATAACTGAGGTTCTCTAATTCTAACTTGGGTAAGCTATGTCTTCTACTATTCAACTAGGGACATTACTAGGGAAAGACACCAGCAGAGGATGCTTTCCTTCATAACTGGGTCCTACTTGGCCTACAGACGGGAGGTGGACTACAAAGGATTCAATGAGGCTATAAGAGTCACCCTCGCGAGCTACCACCGATCCAGAATGCAGGGTGCATCCACGATTAACCTAAGTCTAAGCACCATGCTTACACTTACGCTTAATACTTTACTCCTAGGAAGAGAATAAAGCACTCAAAAGAGTCACAAACCTGATGAACAATATAAACAAAATGCTTAGTTGAATTAGAAGTTGATTACCAGAGGAATCTCAGAGGCAAGCTTAGATAGAACTTGGATTCGCCAAGTACAAGCCATAGAGAGAGCACTGACATGCCGACATTTCCTCCAAACTCATCCCTCACTCTCCATCTCACTATTATTTACAACACTAGATCCTATAGAGGACTAATCTTCTCTTGATAGCTGGCTCCTAACGAGGAGAATATGAATTAGGGTTTCAGGATGTCTCTAGGGAGGGGGGTTAGGGGCTTCTATATATAGGCCGAGGTGGAGTAGGGGGCAAGGAATCAAGGTGGGGTAGGGGGCAAGAAATTGCCACATCATCGATCTGCGTCAATTCCCTCGATCACCGTTGGATGAACCTACCTTGATTAATGGCGGAGATGGACTCTCAAAGGCGGTGGTGAATCGACATTCGAAGCAGAGACCGACAGGTGGGTCCCATGGGTCGGCCGGCCTACAGGTGGGGCTAGCCGACCCCACATGTCAGCCCCTCAGGGTTTGCTTTGGTGGGTTGCCATCTGGAGTGTTCTAGAGTCTTCCCACATATGTTTTGTTGCAGATAAATGTGATTTACTTTAACGAATAGGTCCACCTTAATGGTTTTCTGATTAAACCCTACTGAAAACATAGATTCACCAAAACTCATGGAATTTATTAGTTTAAACCTCTAAACCTATGTTTAGTGATGGAATTAAGTATATGTGCAGGTTATGTTGACGGTTTATGATTGATGCTAGTGACCATCAACAAGCTCCCCCAAGCTTACCCTTTGCTAGTCCCTGAGCAAAGCTAAACTCAGCAATGGATCAGGAGTTGCTACAATGCTTTCACGCCTCAAAAGTACACATGTGTTCAATCAAGAATTCTCCTCCGAATTAGAATAAACCGATCTAACTTTCAAACTTATCCATATTACCTTCAACCATAGGGCTTCTTAGCCTTCACTTGGGTCTTGAGCAATTGAAAGACAGAACGATCAAGTCAAGCACTATGTCTCAAGTTTTATGTTCTACCATTGTTCTAGAGTTTTATAAGTTTTCAAAATAAAACTCAGAGATTCCATTGTATGACACTGTCAAGTCTCTCAATATATGTGGTATTTGTGGATCCTCACGAAGGCAATAAAGATGTTATGTCTTTTTCTCTTCCTACCACTAAGGCTTATGTGGAGTTCATAGGTAGGGAGAAAGCTAGAGCATACTTGTAATGCATATATTGTAAAGTCAAACAATGGATCCAAAGAGAGTTGAGTCATACAATCAAATCATGATGTGCATGTGTGTGGATATATATGGTGGCTAACCTAATTCTACTTTGCTCCTTTGAAAACTTATCTCTCTTTTGAAAAACTTGAAAACATTTGCTAGATAACAGGGGCTATCTTATTCATCTCTTTTTTTTCATGCGGGCATCTAAGTACCCATTGTTTTTAAATATCTTGGACACTTTTCTCAACTCTCTCTTTTTCTTTTCTTTCTCTTTTTTTTCTATGAATAACTTTTGCATAGCCCCATGCCTCTTTTCTGCAATAGAAACTTTTGAGAGATAGCAACAAGAACTTAGAGCATTTATTTGGTGGATGGAAAACCTATCAAGCATATTTTTGTGTACACCCCCAGTGTAGGAGTAGAACATTTTTTGAGTGGATCTAAATGGAAAGCATGTTTTTACTCCCAGTGTAGGAGCAGCAGGTATATGTGGTTTGTACGTGATCTTAATTTTAAGAGCATGATAAACCTCTCATAAGGGTCAATAAAGCTTGACAAAACTCAATGTAAAAGCAAGTAGCATATATGTGGAAGTTTTCCTAGCCTAAATAACACGTATGGCTCTGGTGGTAATTCAAGCTTTGTCATACAGGAACTCATCATGTAGCATTTTTGTGTTTTTAAAAGACAAATCTCTAGAACTTTGATGCCACTTGGAACAAGATAAACAGCAGCTCAGACCTTCTCATATCATATCCTTCAATTACCTAGACTTAGATCAAGCATATTCCACCCATGAGTTTCGAGTTCAGAGTAAATCCTTATATCAAAATAGTCTTATCCAAAACTCGAGAGAATTCAAGGCTGAAAACTAGGTACTTGAAAGGAATTATAATAGAGCAACTATTCATCATTTCCATTTAAGAGATTATTTTGAGTCCTCTTTATTTGCTAACAACTCTTAAAAATAAATTAAAGCAAACTAGACACACCTTTTATTTTGTTTTCAATTTTACTAGATCACACATTATTACTATAACTATATATATTTATTATAAAGATATCTTTTTATTTTGTTTTTAGTTATTCATCTTTTTAATACT